AAGGGAAGGGGGTGAACAAAGGGGCTTTATGGCCCTCACTTCCTTCGGTACACTTCAAATGAACTGGATGTGTGTATTGCCAAAAGAGCTAATCATAAGAATGGGGCTATTACCTTTCATGTAGTTTTCTTTGAAGTCTCATCCAGCCGGCAGTAAGGAAAAAGAGGTGGGAGTGTATTGCCTGAGACTGTCACTGGAAGAGGGGGGTGATTGGGTGGGGCTACTGGGGAAACCCTTAAAACCTTGAATGGAAGAGCTTGGACCCCAAGTCCTGTCTAGAACGTCTGCAACCATTTTCTCTTAATAAAGGATGCCTGTTGGAAGAATTATTCCAAGAGTTCTGTCTTCTTAAGATGCAAAGTGGGGTGGGTCCTTACATTCGCAGCAGAAGTGGGCCAGCAGCCATGAGGGCTCCTGCTGGATGGGGCTGTTGGTTCCGCCACAGTGAAGTGAGGCAGGTGTGACGAAAAGTATAAGACACAGCCCGAAACTAAGACCTAATGCCTCTTTTGGAGGTAATAATAATAATAATAATAATAATAATAATAATAATAATAATAATAATAATAATAATAATAATAATAATAATAATACGATGATGATGATGATGATGATAAAGTTGGAAGGGACCTTGGAGGTCATCTAGTCCAACCTCCTGCTCAGGCAGGAAACCCTATACCATTTCGGACAAATGGCTGTCCAGTTTCTTCTTAAAAACTTCCAGTATTGGCACATTCACTGCTTCTGGAGGCAGGTTGTTCCAGTGGTTAATTGTTCTCACTGTCAGGAAGTTTCTCCTTAGTTCTAGGTTGCTTCTCTCTTTGGTTAGTTTCCTCCCGTTGCTCCTTGTCTTGTCTTCAGGCGCTTTAGAAAATAGCTTGACTCCCTCTTTTTTGTGGCAGCCCCTGAGATATTGGAACACTGTTATCATGTCCCCCCTCATCCTTCTCTTCGTTAAACTAGACATACCCAATTCCAGCAGCCTTTCCTTATATGTTTTAGCCTCCAGTCCCCTAATCATCTTTGTTGCTCTTCTCTGTACTCTTTCTAGAGTCTCAACATCTTTTTTACATCGTGGTGATGAAAACTGGATGCAGTATTCCAAGTGTGGCCTTACCAAGGCATTGTAAAGTGGTTTTAATACTTCACGTGGTTTTGATTCTATCCCTCTGTTAATGCAACCTAGCACTGTGTTGCCTTTTTTGGCAGCTGCAGCACACTGCTGGCTCATATTTAGGTGATTGTCCACTAGGACTCCGAGATCCCTCTCACAGTTACTACTATTGAGCAAGGTACCCCCTATACTATACCTGTACATTTGGTTTTTCTTGCCTAAATGTAGAACCTTACTTTTTTCACCATTGAATTTCATTTTGTTAGTTAGCGCCCAGTATTCAAGTCTGTCCAGATCCTTCTGTATCCTAAGCCTGTCTTCTGGAGTGTTGGCTATTTCTGCCAGTTTGGTGTCATCTGCAAATTTGATGAGTTCCCCATCTATCACCTCGTCCAGATCGTTGATGAAGATGTTGAAGAGCACTGGGCCCAGAACAGAACCCTGGGACACCCCACTACACGCTTCCATGTAGATGCAGTTCCATTGAGGACCACACGCTGAGTACGGCCAGTCAGCCACCTACTGATCCATCTGGTGATGATGCTGTCTAACCCGCATTGTTCTATCTTCTCAAGTAGTAGGTTGTGGTCTACTTTGTCAAATGTCTTACTGAAGTCCAAGTAAATTATATCCACAGCATTCCTCTGGTCCACTAATTTTGTCATTTGGTCAAAGAATGCAATATTTGTCTGGCATGATCTATTTTTGACAAACCTATATTGACTTTTAGTAATGACTTTGTTTGTCTCTAGGTGTTCGTTGATTCGTTGTTTGATTATCTTTTCCAGGATCTTCCCAGGTATTGAGGTCAGGCTGATAGGTCTGTAATTTCCTGGGTCCTTTTTTCCCCCTTTTTTGAAGATGGGAACTACATCAGCTCTTTTCCAGTCCTCTGGTAGTTCGCCAGTGCTCCAGGATCTTTGAAAAATATAGTTCAGTAGTTCTGAGATCACATCTGCCAGTTCTTTAAGAATCTTGGGGTGTAATCCATCTGATCCTGGTGATTTGAACTTGTCTAGGCTGGACAGGTGTTCACTTACCATTTTCTTTCCTATCTTAACTTGTATTTCTATTTTGTTTAACTTCTATTTCCATAAGACCTGGTCTTACTTTGGGGAAAACACGGTAGCAGTATTCCGGTATTTGAGGGGCTGCCACAAAGAAGAGGGGGTCACGTTATTCACCAAAGCACCAGAGGGAAGGACAAGAAACAATGTTTGGAAGCTGATCAAAGAGAGAAGCAACCTGGAATCAAGAAGAAATTTCCTGATAGTGAGGACAATTAACCAGTGGAACAGCTTGCCTCCAGAAATCCTGGGCGCTCCATCACTAGAGGTTTTTAAGAAGAGACTGGACAGGCACTTGTCTGAGTTGGTATAGGTTCTCCTTCTTGAGGGGGGGGCTGGACTAGAAGACCTCCAAGGTCCCTTCCAGCTCTATTCTACTCTAAAAACAAAGAAAGCCCAGTTGCCTTTTGAAAAAGTACCTTAGGGACAACTTAAAACTGAAACAGCACCGAGCTGACTCCAGCATACTGGAGCAGTTGGCAGTATGCACGTTTTATAGTTTTTTTTATTTAAAGAACAAAACACAAAAACAGTAGCAATAGTGATGCATACATACATTGTGGAAGAGAAGGAAAAACATAGCAGTAAAAAGAGCTGGAACAAAAAGATAAAAAAATAGGTTCACATATTACAATTCTATATGTACTTACAAAGGCAAAAATATAATTTTGTAATCACATTCTTTAGGGCAAAATTATTCAAAACAAATATATTTCTGACACATTTACATAGCTATTTTTAAATTTAATTTATAGCTGTATAAATAAGTCCCATGTTTCATTTGCATTTATGCATACAAAGTCTTCATCTATAGGCTCATAGTTGATGGCCAGTGAGATTTTCCTTCCATTGAGGGAAAGGGCCATAAATTTATCTTTCCAATATTGCTTAATACTGAGTCAGCCCTGAGCTTATTAGTCTTTGGGACTCTAACATACAGACACTCCTTGACTTACATTTCTTTAGTGACCATTCAAAGTTACAACAGAACTGAAAAAAGTGACTTCTGACCGTTTTTATGAGCCGAGGTGGCGCAGCAGTTAGAGTGCAGTACTGCAGGCCACTTTAGCTGACTGTGTTCAGCAGGTCAGCGGTTCAAATCTCACCGGCTCAGGGTTGACTCAGCCTTCCATCCTTCCGGGGTAGGTAAAATGAGGACCCAGATTGTTGGGGGCAATGTAAATATATATATATATACATTGCTTACTGGCGTACACCGCTTAGAGAGTGCTTGCACTTAAAGCGGTATATAAGTCTCATAAATAAATAAATAAATTTTTCACAGTTACGACCGTTACACCTTCTCCATGGTCACATGATGAAAATTTGGACGCTTGGAAACTGGCTCAGATTTACAACAGTTGCAGTGTCCTAGGGTCATGTGATCCCCTTTTGCGACTTTATGACCAGCAATGGGGAAGCCTGATTCACTTAACAACCCTGTTACTCAATTAACAACTTCAGTGATTCACTTAACAACTGTGACAAGAAGGGTTGTTAAAATGGAGCAAAATTCACTGAACAATTGTCTCACTTAGCAACAGAAATTTTGGGCTCCGTGTGATCATACATCGAGGACTGCTTCTACTAGAGTAGCTTGGCATCCTACAAATTTAATAGCTAACAATACTGTCATCCAAAGAGGGTTGGAGGGCAGCAAGGGAGAACTGGGGCTGGGCCAACAGGGTGGGGTGAGGGGTGGGGAAGAAGGCAGCAATCAATAGTTTGGTATTTGGGCAGGTGAGGATAATCTAGAGCAGGGGTCCCCAATCCCCGGTACATGGACCGACACCGGTCTGCTCAAACAAGGGAAGCCCCATCCGGTCTGCAGAAAACCCTCTCTTCGCAGAACCAGTCCCTGGTGTTCAAAAGCTTGCGAGCCGCTGATCTAGAACAGGGGTCTTCAAACTCGGCCCTGTTTATGACTCATGGACTTCAACTCCCAGAATTCCTCTGCCAGCGTGCCTGAGGAATTCTGGGAATTGAAGTCCATGAGTCATAAAAGGGCCGAGTTTGAAGACCCCTGATCTAGAAGGTGAATTTAAAGAGAAAGAATGGGAGGTGAAAGAATCCAGTGTTTTGCTAGGGTGCAGTTCAAAACAGATCACATTTTCATCACTACATATTAAGATTCTTAGGAATCTTGTCAGTTATCGGTGGCTTTCTTTGAAAGCAGTGTTCCTGATTTTTGGGGGGACGGTGCCCCTCAATATTTCAGAGGTGCCCCTGCCGACTCCACACAATCAGAAGCCCCAGAGGAGGGACAACGGGAAAAGCGGCAAGAATGAGGCTCCAGAGGCACTAGTGGTTTATTCTGCAGTCGATGACCGACATGACCTCTTCATCCTCTAAAACGGGTGGGGAAAGATGGCCCCTTTATGACTTGTGGACTTCAACTCCCATAATTCTTCAGCCCTCATGGCTGGTTGAGGAATTCTGGGAGTTGAAGTCCATAGGTCTTAAAGTTGCTACATTTGTAGACTCCTGAGCTACCTGGTCAGCCCTTCTTAGCTCTCTCCCTTCTGAGCTCTTCCACAGTGTAATAAGAATGCATCCCCCAATCCGTTCCCGGTACCCTTAAAGACACAGGAATCAAGTGCAAAGCAATAAAGAAATACAAACTCCATTTTCTCTCTCTCTCTTTAAGCTTCCTCAGGCGTGTCACGTGTCACAATGTTGCAATCCTAGACTGAAAGGCTCAAGCAATTGCAAAAAGCTTTAATTTAGATTTAAATTAAGCCTGCTTACCTTCAAAGAAAACTTTCTAAAGGCAACTAATTACATTTGTTTAAAGGGATTAAACCTTTCCTGTTGTCTTTTTCTCCCTTCCCCCACCCAAACCACCTCCTTTTATAGCCTCTCCTCTCCTCCTCTCCCTTTTTCTTCAGTTTACCTCCAGCTCCAAGTTGCTTCCGGAATCGTCAGTCAGCTGGAGCCAATCAGCTGGAGCCCTGCCGGCTCCTGGGGCTTCTGCCGAGCCCAGACAGTCATGCAGCTGCTTGGCTCGCTTAGGCTCATTCCCCTCCCCTGCTACACTTGGCTAGCATTTGTGTACCACCTGCCATGTGGCAAAGTACCACAGATCGTATGTGTACCACCGGTTGAAAAGCCCTATACTAGAAGACCTCCAAGGTCCCTTCCAACTCTATTCTATTCTAACTCAAGCGGTTCATCTTAGCTTGCTGTTATCAAGCAGGCCTTCACCTTAAACCATATATTTACTTCTTCTGCCATAACAGCTTTGTGAATACAGCCACCTTGTTTCGATAACCTTGTTTTGTTTACCACACTGTGTTAAACTCATACATTTTGCTACTCGCTAAATATCCGAGCAGTTAAAAAGCTTACAAACATCCAAATACATTTGCAAACATTTCATCAATTCTATTGCAGTCCAAATAGCTCAGCCAGAGCCGGGAAATTGACATCTTGACATGAACAAAGAGCCACGTGGGAACGTTTCCTGTGCTCCCATCTCAATTCACAGCATCGTTTCAGACTGCAGAGAAAACATAGGACAAACAATGATCAATTCAACACTGCAGAAGGACAGCAAAGTGACAGACCTGCAATGACAAAAAACATCTACTTTTGTTCCTGGATGAGGGCAAACCAGGAGGCCAAGATCTATCTTGGTTGCTGACTTCAAGCTGGAGTGTGATTCTGAATAACCAGAATTGACCTTGACTTTCTTCTTGGGATCAGTTGTCCCCCAGCTCAAACTAATATGGGTTTTATTTAGGTGGTGGAATAAAATAAAATGTACCAATAAAGGAGTATATTTGTAGCTAAGGATTGAAATGTATTTGTAGCTCTGGCTTGGGAATTCTGGGGGATGAAGTCCACACATCTTAAAGTTACTAAGGTTGAGAAACATTGCTTTGAGAGGGTCCTTGGTGCTCTCTGAGCTTGCTTGTTTTCTTGCAGATGTTTCATTACCTAACTAGGTAACATCATCAATGCTAGTAAGGAGTCTCGTTTGCTGACAGCAAGCTCAGAGAACATCAAGGACCCCTCAAAATAAAATGTTTTGGCTTGACAAGGGGAAGGGAGGTAGAGAGAGTTTCCAACTTATGACCATAATGGAGCCTGCCCATTATGGTCCTAAGTCACGGTGGTCGTAAAACAGGTAAACCCATGTGACCAACCCAATTTTATAACTTTTTTTTGAGGCAGTCAATTGTTTATCATGGGCTGGTTTTGCTGAAAACTGCAAGTAGTCACAGCAGAGAAGCTGATTGGAGGGGCACCGGTATATAACCAGCTTGGTCTAGTGGTGAAGGCACCAAGTTAAAAACTAGGAGACAGTGAGTTCTAGTCCCACTTTACATATGAAAACGGGCTGGATGAATTTCAGCTGATCACCAGGAAATGGTGAATTCCAGTCTTGTCTTAGGCATGAAAGCCTACTGGGACTAGTCACTCTCTCTTTTAACCGACCCCACCTCACAGGATTGTTGTTGTGGAGAAAACAGAAGGAAGAACAATGAGTTACTTATAAATAAATACAAAGCAATTGTCAAGTTTTAAAGCATGATTTTGCTAGTGTGATAATTATTGCTTTTCAGCTGCCAATGAACTCCGGGGAGTGGGGGGGGGGGAGAGAGAAAGGAAGGGTTTGGATTGCAGTCATCAAAGATTCAGAAGCTAGACCGGGAGACTCAAGGACATTGCACCAGGTGTTTGACAGACCCAGAGACACTTTCTCATAACAATATTTTTCTACTTGATTGGGCTACGTGACCTGATCCAGAGGGAGGAGGGAAAATTCCATGCTTTTACTATATGAGTTTGGGAGGGATCTTGCCAGAGCTGGTTTTGCTTTCATGTGTGCCGAAATGATGTACTCAATAAAGTTTTACATTAAGAGATTGGAATTTCTCAAAGGTGTTTGCTTGGTTGGGTTTGTCAGTCAGAACCTTGACAGTAATAAAATAATAAAGATGAGATACAAATCTAAACAGACAAACCTACCTGAAGGGCTCCAGGCAGCCCATAATATTTTTATAGCAGGCTAAGAAAATTTTGAACCTGGATGTTCAAATCCTACCCGCCCGTCATTCTCATCGACATCTTTGCTTGCATTTGCTCTCAGGTTCCTTTCACAGCCTGGACTTTGATTCTCATATGCAAAACACAAAAATATTTGGTAATAATTCTACTCACAAGAAGGGTCATTCCTGGGATCATCCTCTCCTCTCCCGAATCCTAGATTGCAGAAAGAGAGAGCAAAAAAAGGAGATGTTAGGAGAAAAGCCCAGGGGAAGCCGGTCAACGATGGGAAGGCGTAAACTTTCATGACCTCACTTCAAAAGATGCATATTGCAAAAGGTGGTGCCTTTTAACAAAATGTGTTAATCTGAAAAAGGGTTTCCAAGGTCTGGGGGAAAAAAATAGGATTTTAATGTTCTCCAAAAAGAAGACAGATAGGAAGGTCTGGGAAAAAAACAGAAAAAGTGGGGGAAAAACTGTCAGATTTTTTCCCAATGGCTTTGGGGAAAAAAGGAAAAAAACATCCCCCCCCCCCCCGTTTTTCCCCATTTTTTCTGGTTTTTTTCCCAGGCCTTCCCATCTCTACTGGGGACTAACCAAATCTCAGGGAGGGGAGGTTATTGCCCTGTTTCCAAAAGGAAGAGCAGGATCAGAGACGGTACCCTTTCTGGATCCAACCAAATTACATTGTCGACACATCAGGAATCAAAGCAAGCCAACCTCACATGGCAACAGGCCTTCCAAATAGGATCAAATCAGACCCTCTCTTAGGGCAGAGAATCCCAGGATCCTGGCTTTGATACAAATGGATCGTGTTAAGATATTCAAATTTAGTCGCTGGAGCAGTGGGGTTGTGCAGTGAGCCCAAATACACAGGGGTTGTTTTCAACATCCAGCTTGAGGATCCAAATAAATCATCAGATTCACTCTGTTTCTGAAAATCTTACTGTTTATTGAATACACGGCATGGTAACGTCAAAGCAAAATTAACTTTGAGGTTCCCAGACACCAGTTCATAGAATTAAACCAATAAAACAAATATACATACATATAGACACAGATTAGGGGTTTTAATTCCTAATCCATGTCTATATGCTTGTATATATGTTTTTATGCATTTCCAGGTTCATTCTTCTTTTGGGGAGGTGATATGTCAAGAATGAAACTTTGGCAGCTACATGCCTGTTCATTTCGACCTGCTATTTCTTTAGGTGTCATGTATATTTGTTTTTAACTATGTACCGATTGGTTGGAGAGTGCTGGCTTTTGCCTGAGGCAAACTGCACTGTCATTGGTTGCTATGCGTGCGGCGGAGGGGTAGTGTCCTTTTTCCCCCGCCTTTTTTCTACTGTGTGCCTTCTGGGCTCTGCAATTTACCTCACGATGCTCCTGTTTGCCTGACTATCTAGTCTGCTGTATATAGAAATGTTAAATATATTTATTTATATAAACTTACAAGTTTGTGTCAGTGTCTTTGACTTTATTTGGACAGCTGCTACGCAATTCCCTGACAAGATCACCTGATTATCAATGATCAATGGATCATTCCCCAGGAGGAAAGGGAAACGGAGAAAGCAGCAAGCAGAAGCAGCAGCTGGGAGGGGAGGAAGATTTTCACTGAAGTCCTTCTCTTTGAACAAAGCCTTTGATTGGGACAAACCTGGAATGCCTCTTCCCAACTCAAAAGAAGACAGGACTGTCCAAACCTTGGACTCAGCTGAACTGAGACTGGAATCTCAGCAAGAGGCTGAGATCTCAGATGCTCCTTAAGTCGGCTAGGAAAACAGGGAAAAAGGAAGCCCAGAAAAAAAAGAGAAACAGTTTGGGCTAGTGGTTAGGGCACTGGGCTAGAAAGCGGAAGACCATGCTTGAGATCAGGTCCTGCCTTAGCCACGAAAGCCAGCTAGGTGACCATGGGCCAGTCGCATAACCACCTCACAGGGTTATTGTTGTGGAGAAAAAAATAAGAGGAAAGTGTGTTAGATATATTTACAGCCCTGAGTTATTTGTGAAAATAATAAAGGCAGGTAATAAATAAATGAATACATAAATAAACAAGCAAGCAGCAAGTAAGCAAACAGGTTAGCTAGTTCCCCAAAGGGAGACACATCAAAGAAATTGATCCATCCATCCATCCAGAAAAGGATACTTACTGAGAAATGCTAAGATCCCAGAAATTGCACACACCAAGATAACGCCAGCCACACTAACACCGATGATGAGCCCCAGACTGGAACTGGATTCTGGAACTGGATTGGGAGAAAGAGCAAATGGGGGGAAAGATTTCAAACAGCAAGAAAGATAAGGGATCTACCAAGTTAAGAAATGTCAGATGTCTTTACGTCATAGGAGACGTGTAGAATAGAATAGAATAGAATAGAATAGAATAGAATAGAATAGAATAGAATAGAATAGAATAGAATAGAATAGAATAGAATAGAATAGAATAGAAGCAATGGATGGAAACTGATCAAAGAGAGAAGGAATCTATATCTAAGAAGAAAGAACAATTAATCAGTGGAACAGCCTGCCTCCAGAAGTTGTAAATGCTCCAACACTGGAAGTTTTTAAGAAGAGACTGGACAGCCATTTGTCTGAAATGGTATAGGGTTTCCTGCCTGAGCAGGGGGTTGGACTAAATGACCTCCAAGGTCCCTTCCAACTCTACTACTACTATTTATTATTGTTGTTGTTGTTATTATTATTGTTGTTATACTATTATTATTATATATCTGGCCACAATTTCTCTCCCATAATCCTCCAAAGAGCCCAGCCTTTCCCTCCCTGTAGCCTCTCACCCTTCAGGTCCAGATCCAGAGGCTGCTGCAAGCCATTGTGCTCCACGTGGCACCGATAGCGGCCCCTCTCCTTGGGATCGATCTGGATTCCAAGCGAGTAATAGTAGGTCCCATCTGAGTTGGGGGCCACAGACCCATGGAAGGTGTCTTGCAGCCAGAATTCCCCATCCCTCGTCCAGGAGGCATCGATCTCCCTGGGGTAGAAGCCGTGGATTCGGCAGACGTGCCTCTCCATACCATCAGCTTCTGTCCTGCTGCTCATCGTCACCACTGGAGGAACTGGGGAAAAAAAGGGGGGGGGGTTAGAATCAAAATTGAGCCTCCCTGGAAATCAGCTTAACTTGTGCATCACACGTGCAACCAGAATGAGGAGTCTCCAAATAAATCAAGCTGCTTTGAATAATTTCTTTCGGCCAGAAGAACAAACATAAAAGCACTTTATTAAATACAGTTAAACCTCGATTTGCAACATTTAGTGATTGTTCAAAGTTACAACAGCACAGGAAAAAGTGACTTAGTTTTTCACACTTACAACCGTTGCAGCATCCCCACGGTCACATGATCAAAATTCAGATGCTTGGCAACTGACTTGTATTTATGATTGTTGCAGTGTCCAGGGGTCATATGATCACCTTTTACGACCTTCCGACAAGCAAAGTCAGCGGGGAAGCCATATTCTTCTAACAACCGTGTTACTCATTTTAACAACTGCTATGATTCACTTAACAACTATAAGTCGTAAAATGGGGCAAAATTCACTTAACAAATTTCTCGCTTCGCAACAGAAATTTTGGGCTTAATTGTGATTGTAAGTCGAGCTGTATTATTATTTTCTCTGTTACCTTGCAAGTATACTGAGTGTTTCTGTCCCGGAGACAAATTCCTTGTGTGTCTAATCACCTGTGGCCAAATCAAGTATTCAATTCAATTTGCTTTGATTCGAATGAACTCTTTTGATCCTGCTTCCTGTCTGGATTACTGTCATGGTTCCGACTAATGAAACACTTCAAAGAATTCAAGGCATTGTTTATCCTAAAAAGTCTTTAATCGTGAAACAAAGTGTCGGCACAGTATGGTGGATGTCAAGATCTGAATTCCTCTCCCCTGAGCACATAATATTCAATCATAATTCCCTCCTCTAATTTGCAGTCTAAAATCACGTTCTCCAATCAGTTTGAAGGGTAAAGTTTCCCTTCCTTTTGTAGCCCAAGGTTTCTTATTTTAACTAATCCCCACACACATTCTTTCTTCTCTCCTCCCAGCATCATCTATTTTAAATCTAAAAGTACCACACATCTTATACAGAGAGTGGCTGCCTCTTCATATTTTGTCAAAGCAAGAACATCCAATGTTAGCAGCATTGACAATTACCTTACAAGATTGACACTACTATTTCCACTTCTAGAGACTGATTTTTTTAAAAAAATATCAGAGAGGGCTAAAAACAAGGGCAGCATCAAGGCTGCAATCGCTTGGACGACTCCCAGATTATTCCTTGGAGATCTGGAACTCGCTTAAATGATGACTCGGAACAGCCAGCCGAAAGACAATCAGAGGAGGCTTCAGCTGGGGAAAGCGTGCAGGGGCAAGACAGCCAACAAAGAGGAAGAACTGCCTCCTGCACCTTATCCGAGAGCACACAGGGCAGAGAAAAGGCAGGCGCAATGGAGGTCAGCCAGATTACTCAGGAGAAGGCCCTGCCTGTCTTGATAGGCTGCACTGGGAAGCTGGGTATTTAAGACAGCAGGAATAGGGAGGCATTACTGGGAACGTGTCAGTTTGCCGGCTGTTTATTTCCTCGTTGTGCTTCCTGCTTCACTGTGTTTGGAATCGTGCCTTTGGAAACTCTGAACCTTTCTTGCTAAGTGAGCTTTCATGTGTGCATTTAATTTTGGCCTGGTGGATTTAAGTTTGTTTCGTGGAGCTATTTGTTTGAGCAACTTTCATTTATTTATGGACTATTGACCAGTTGCTTTGTGGACTAATCTTGGCTTGCTTGTGGCTGAGCCTATAGGGACAGTTCTGAATATTGGTAAAGGGAATTACTGGGGAACATTAATACACTCACTAAACCACAGTTACATGGGTATGAGTGTGTGGGGCAGCACATCAGCTGACAATCGCCAGCAGAAAATAAGCCAACTGGGTCATCTGGCCTGTTCTTTGCCAGCAAACCTACACAGGAAACACTTGCAACACTTAAGCAGATGCAGCTCCCATACTTTCTCTCTGGCTGTTTCTCCATACCTTCCCTCAAGGATGTCTCCAATCTGTAGTGGTTGTATTTCTGCAGCCACTCTGTGCAGATGCTCTCCACATAATCTGTGAAACGGTGATTGGCGGCAGTTTCGACCCTCCGCTTGATCTCCTGGGCTTCTTTGTCAGCTGCTGTCCAGATGCCGGTCGCCATCTCGTAGCCAAGGAAATGCTGCCCATCATAGCCATACTGCCAGCGGCCGCTCCTTTTCCCATCTTCCCCCACTTCACAGGAGACCATCAACTGGACGATGTGAAAGCCTAAAAGAAGCATCCCCAAGGTTAGGAGGAAAAGCTCTATAGGAAATCAGAGAAAGCCACTTCCTGCTGGAGCTCCAGATTCTGTGAGTGCTGAGAAAGCAAGAAAGACAAGGATTACAGGAAGAGATCTTGAAGGCAAGTCAAGGTTGAAACAGAATTTGGGATCTGTAAGATAGATTTCTCACTATAAAGAAACTCACTATAAACAAGGCTGGGAAATTCCTCATACAGTCCAACATTCCTTAATTAAGATAGGATTTCTTAGAGGCCCACATCTCCCGGCACTGGAGTGAAGTCACCTTTCCTGAGATCACTTTTAGATAACTCCAAATTGTGAAGGCAAAAGATCTATATTGTTAGCATTTGTGGATGATATTTGTTACAGATGTTGAGACTCTAGAAAGAGTGCAAAGAAGAGCAACAAAGATGATCAGGGGACTGGAGGCTAAAACATATAAGGAACGGTTGCTGGAATTGGGTATATCTAGTTTAATGAAGAGAAGGATGAGGGGTGACATGATAGCAGTGTTCCAATATTCCAGGGGCTGCCCCAAAGAACAGGGGGGTCAACCTCTTCTCCAAAGCACCTGAGGGCAGGACAAGAAGCAGTAGATGGAAACTAATCAAGGAGAGAAGCAACCCAGAATTGAGGAGAAATTTCCTGACAGTGAGCACCATTAACCAGTGGAACAATTGGCTTCCAGAAGCTATGAATGCTCCAACACTGGAAGTTTTTAAGAAGAGACTGGACAAAAATTTGTCTGAAATTGTATAGGGTTTCCCTGCCTGAGCAGGGGGTTGGACTAAAAGATCTCTAACGTCTATTCCATTCCATTCCATTTCATTTCATTCCATTCTATTTCTATTTCTATTCTATTTTTTATAACAAATTTTATTGGTTTTTTAACTTTTACCAGAATGCTCGAGGCACACTGTAGTGGTTGGGTGATGAATCATCCAGAAACAAAATCATATAATATCTCGAGTAAATACATTAAATGTTCCCTCTCTATTTCCCTCAAATAATATAACCTATTTAACATAATCCATTTCTACATTACATTTCTATAAGTCCTAATCCTGTTTTTAAACTTTATTAATTTACAGTTACCATAGTCCAATTTAATCTTAGATAAACATATTATCATTTCGGGTATCCCTTCTAAAATACAAATCCAAATATATTCTAATTCTTAATCTCATAAATCATTGATTTTATCACAAATCTCTCTTATTTCTTCAGATAGCATTTAAATCTCATCCAAATAGTTATCATGTCTAAAAAAAACCCACACCTATTATTACACAAAACATCGTCTTACTAACTTAACACACTGAATTAATTGTTAAATCAATCCGAGTCTCTAAAACCCTTTTTCATATTCTTATTCTCATTCCATTACAAAATAATTTTCATACAAATAAATGTATTATTCCAAAAAATACATTCTTACTCTGTTTAACATATATATTCTAATAATCATAGATTTTCAACTCTAAATCTTAATCCTTAAATCAATCCATATTTCTCAAAACCTTTTTAATCCATTACACATAATTTTAAATTTCTCTTTTTAGTCTTATTGTGGCTTTCTTTTTATGCCAAGAAGGTTTCCATAACAAGGCCTCTGTTTCAGCAAGTAGATCTCCCATTATTGCTTGTAATGTCATTTGGGTCAGTAGAGGCCTCCCATCCTCTGTTTTTGACTCCTGGCTCCTGTCTGCTGAATAAAACACTTGATCATGTCCAATTTTATAGTTAGTAGTTGATTCTCAAAGTTGTCATAGTTCTCCAATAGTTGTAATTTCAAGTCCATTTCTGTTACTTTTGCAATTGTAGATGGTTTAGTTACAATCATTTTTTGGTCATTCAAAGTCTCAATAGGTTGTATGTAGAATGAAATAGAATCTTCTTTAGCGTAAATTAATTCCTCTTCTATTGCTTTTTGGTCTGTATAATGATCAAATAGAGCAGCGGTTCTCAACGTTTGTGTGACGGCGACCCCCGTCACACAAAAGTTATGCGCATGCGCGGCGGCGGCACGCATGGGGGCAGGGCCCCTGCGTGCGGCGCGCATGCGCGGTGCCACCCCACGCGCCACGCGCATGCGCGGCGCCACCCCCGGAGGCGCGGCACCACCCCCACATGTGGCGCGCATGCGCGGCGCCGCCCCTGGAGGCGCGCCGCCGCCCCTACGCGTGGTGCGCATGCGCGGCAGCGCCCCCGGAGGCGCACCGCCACCCCCATGCGCGACGCGCGTGCGCGGCACCCCCCCCCGGAGGCGCAGCGCGCCCCCGGAGGGGACAAAATGGCGGATCGCCGCGTTTGGCGACCCCGCAAAAGAGGTCGATCGACCCCAAATGGGGTCACAACCCATAGGTTGAGAACCGCTGAAATAGAGGCTGAAGGTCAGTTTGTAAATTCACAGTAGAATTTCTGTTTATTATTTCTGTAGTACTCTCTCTTATTTGGAAACATATTTCCTCAGTAGCTTCATAGATTTTATCCCATATGAGTTTAGAGTTGAGTTGTAAACAAGATTTCGCCATTTCAATAGTAACTAAGACCAATCCTGTTATCTTTTAGTGGAGGCTGTATTCCAAAACATTTAATCAGTATTCATCCCCACAAATAACAGCTGTTGAATTCTTTTTCTTTTCCTTTATGATGGTCTGGAGATCAAAGCCAATCTCATCATTAGACCAAAAGAAATAAAAAATAGTTGCAATTTTAAATTTCTCCACAAGGTATACTATGAAAGTCTCTTCCAGACACCAAAAATGACGTTATCAAAGTGAAAGAGCTGTGAAATCTCTTTTCCGGCTTCTCCTAGAGTTTTTTTTTTTCAAACAATATTTATCCCTTTAAAAAAATAAGTCCAAGACATAGGAAAACAATATTCTCCAGCTTAGAAGATATAATAATAAAGTTCTATGATAAGGATTTTTCCAGGGCCCCAAAGTAACCAAAAATAAAAATAGTCAATAAAAAGATAACTTTTTACCCCCTTTGTTATGAAAAGCTCTTTTTCCCAGATAGACAAAGGCAGCTCTTTCAAAGCAGGGAAGTAATTCCAAAAGGCTTTTAACAGGAGAGTAGTTAGGCAAAGAGAGAGAGGGAAAAGTCTCATAGGGATCATCCACGATGGTTTCTTAATGCTTAGATGTTCTTTTGACTTTTGGTTGGAGCAGCTAAATGATCGGCCATGTTACTGGCCGATCTTTTCTCCGTCTGCCCTGAGGAGCTGCCTTGGACTACGGAAGGAGCTGCCTCCTCCCCCTGCGATTGATGAGAGCCCTCCTCATTGGTAGTCACCCCTCCAGGGTGGCTTTTCGACCCAATTAAGGTTCTACCGGCAGAGGAAAAGCAGGCAACGAAGAGAGAAGTCTCTTCGTATAACTGCACCCACTGCAACCCGGAACTGGAAGTCTATTCTATTCTATTCTATTCTATTCTATTCTATTCTATTCTATTCTATTCTATTCTATTCTATTCTATTCTATTCTATTCTATCCTATTCTATTCTATTCTCTGTTGTTGCTATGAAAATTATATGGATGTACAGGTAGTTTTATGACTGTTAGTGTTAGCGACTGTTCAAAGTTAGATGGGCCTCCCCAAAGGTACTTACGATCTGATTGCAAAACCAACAGCTGTTTCCCTCCCTGTGGTCACATGACTGTATTTCAGGCACTCACCAACCACTGTGTATTTACTGCCATTTGCAGTTTTTCATAGTCACGTGATTGCAATTTGTGACATTTGTCTCACCAGGATCATTCACAATGGTTTCTTAATGCTTAGATGTTCTTTTGACTTTCGGCTGGAGCAGCTAAATGATCAGCCATGTTACTGGCCGATCTTTTCTCCGTCAGCCCTGAGGAGCTGCCTTGGACTGCGGAAGAAGCTGCCTCCTCCCCACATGATCGACGAGAGCCCTCCTCATTGGTAGTCACCCCTCCAGGGCGACTTTTCGACCCAATTAAGGTTCTACCGGCAGAGGAAAAGCAGGCAACGAAGAGAGAAGTCTCTTCGTATAACTGCACCCACTGCAACCCGGAACTGGAAGTCCATTCCATTCTATTCTATTCTCTGTTGTTGCTAGGAAAATTATATGGATGTACAGGTAGTCTTATGACTGTTAGGGTTAGCAACTGTTCAAAGTTAGATGGGCCTCCCCAAAGGTACTTACGATCTGATTGTGAAACCAACAGCTGTTTCCTTCCCTGTGGTCACATGACTGTATTTCAGGCACTCACCAACCACTGTGTATTTACTGCCATTTGCAGTTTTTCATAGTCACGTGATTGCAATTTGTGACATTTTTTGCTCCAAACTGACATTTTCTTCCAATTTTTGGCAAAAACAGTGCATGACCACATGGGAATTAGGGATGTGGATCGTCTTCAGAGACAGAATGGACCCCTTCCCAGCCGTTTCCAGCCTGACTCCAAGGTTGCTGAGCCCTGAGGATGGCCCGCTCTCCGTCCTATACCTCAGCATTCTCAAAACAACTGGTGAAGCCAGATTCACTTAAGCCCTGGGTTACTAACTTATCAACTGCAGTGATGTAGCTTTCCCCTCTGTCTCCCATGTCTCTCTCAACCCTCACTTACCTCCACTTTGGTTATAGCGTCTCTGGAGCATGGGCACGTCCTCCTGAAAGCGTTCCTCGTCTTTCTGCAAAATCCACATGTACTTGTTAAAGAATCTGAAATCTTCCTTTGCCAGTGTATTTAACCAATCTACTCGAGGATGTATCTTCCTGGTGTGGCTTTCGTAGCGAATGATAAGCTGATCGTCCATATAACCTTCAGCTGTGAAGGCTGGCAGCCCTGGACAAGCCTCCGTTGCAGAAGAGTAGCTCACATGGCCTACCCGAGGGGAGGAGCCTAGGGAGAAATGAGAACAGGGCGGAGTTAGGAGGGACTGGAGACGGGTTACAGACTGAGGCTCCAGAGGAGTTGCAGCATTAGGTGCAATATGGGACCGTCAGCCTGCCATGAAGTATGAAGGGAGGGGAAAGTGAAACAGTTGAAGGTGGTGGGGATGCCACTCAGTGTCTTCAAAGTCATTACCCTGGGAGAATAATGCAAAATGATTACAAAAACAGTTTACTCAAATATAATTGGACAATAAGGGGCCAGGGTGAAAAGACTGATTCGCCCTTTCACCTACATTTTCTCCCTTGCTCATAGCTTGACAAGATTGTGGGATGCAAAGGTGGGAGGGATGGTATCTAGGCAACTAAGGCATCTTTGAGAGATTGGTGCTGATAACGCCAAGGTCACTAACGCAGGTGCTCGATGGAGAAGTGGACTTTTCCCATAACAAGAAGGCCTTAAGTCATTTTTTCTTAGGCTGTCATAACTTAGAATAGAATAATTACTTTTAATGCTAGTTTTTATGATGCTTCTATGTCAATGAACGATACTAGAGAATGTGATAAACATTTAAATATAAAAAAGTTTACTGTTAAGATATTTATTAAATGGTATAGATTACAAAATGAATTGGCGCTGTGAGAATATTGATAAATGGGCCAACTTAAAACTAATAGATGAAGTTAATTAAGAAACAAAAAAATGTTAGCATATTTAAAATTGTTACAGGCAGAAACTATTTGTTTATAAAAACTCATTTAATGGAACAAGATAAATATTAATGAAGGATTGGATGGGACTGGTCTGTCTCACAGATACTTTGACAAAAACTAAAAATGTGTCCATTTTGCTTCAAAAAGGATTTCCAATTGATGTACAATATATTACTGATGTAAATGGATGTTATTACATTTTAAATGCTAAAATAACAGGACTTGTAATAGCTATGGTTAATGTTAACGGATGTAATTTAGATTCTTCTATTATGTTTTATTAATTTCTTCAATAATTGAATGGGTGTATTTATGACGAGATAAAGGAGGGGATTTTAATGAAGCATTAGACCCCAAACTGGCTAGATACACCAGCGATATTCCAGCATTAACTATGAGTTTGAGTTAACACTTACCTCTCATACAAAAAACAAGAAGCAAATATTACTTTAATACCAAAAGAAGACTTAAATTTGACACAGATAAAAAACTACAGACCGATATCATTATTGAATGTGGACTATAAAATTTTTACTTCAATAATGGCTGAGAGACTGAAAAGATACTAAAACTGAATTTATACATTCAGACCAAAATGGTTTCCTACCAAAGAGACAAATTAAAAACAATCTAAGAGTGATAATGGATGTATTAGAATACTATGAATTACATCCAGGGAAACAAATGGTACTAATATTTCTAGATGCTCAAAAGCGTTTGATAATGTTTCCTGGCAGTTTATGATTCAGCAATTACAAATAATGGACTTTGGACAGAATTTTATAAATATGATAAAAACGATATATAATAAACAAACAGCGAAAGTGATTGTGAATGGAGATTATACTGAGAACTTTGAGATAAGGAAAGGAACAAGGCAAGGATGTCCATTATCTCCATTATTTATTTTTACTTTGGAAGTCTTAAACAGAAATATTAGACAAGATATAGAACTCAAAGGACTAGAAATAAAAAGCGAAACATATAAATTGCAAGCATTTAATGATGATTCGGTGTTCATTTTAGAAGAACCTTTGGAGATGATTCCTAAACTATTGGGAAAGATAGAACAGTACGAAGAAATGGCAGGACTGAAAATAAACAAAGAAAAAACTAAAGTAATAGTTAAAAATCTTACAGATAAACAAAAAAAAAAAACAAATATTGGAAAAACAGAATTACAGATAGTTAAAAAGGTTAAATATTTAGGAATACAGTTGACAGCAAGATGTTCAACGATAAGAGAAGATAGTTATATAAAATTATTAAATCATATAAAATTGAACTTGGAAAAATGGAAAAATTTGCAATTGTCAATACTAGGAAGAATTGCTACAGTGAAAATGAATTTACTACCAAAGTTTTATCTTTATTTCAAACAATACCTATACAATTGCAGAATTATTCTTTGAAGATTTGAATTCATTAATTTTGAAATTCATTTGGCAAAGAAAGAAAGCTAGAATTAAGATGAAAATGTTACAAGATGCCAAAGGAAATGGGGGATTTAGCCTTTCAGAGTAGGTTCTATACCAGGGGGTCGGCAACCTGCAACAGTGAAAGAGCCTCTTGGACTCGTTTTCCTCGCAAAAGAAAAAACTGGGAGCCGCAAAATGCGAGCGCGCATGTGCACAGAACACGGGGCTTGATTAAAGAGTGGAGCTTAAGGCGAGACGTGCGCCGGCCCTGCCCCCCATCCAGCTCTCGTATGGATGGGTCTGACATCCTGGCTTCTCCTCCCTTCGGAAAAGACTGCTCTCCCCCCGCCCCATGCTCTCCCTCTCCGGGACTTTCTTCTTTCCGTCTTTTGGCGCGAAAGGTTCCAAGGGAGCGGAGGAGGAGGCTGACGGAGAGAAAGAGTTGCTGCGGTGAATCTTCTGAGGCGGCAGCAGATGGCCGCTCGAGCTCGCCTATCTCAGCCTGCTGCGGGAGGCTGAAGTTGAGGCTTCTGGCTCACTCTGGGAGGGGTGCTCGGAAAAGAGAGGATGGGAAGCGGAAAGTGGGAGAAAGGACGTCTTCCAGCTCTCTGGGGCTCTTTCGCTGGGAGGGCGAGAAAGCGGCAGTTCTGCTCCGTGGGAGGTGGGAGCAGATGGCCTCTCCTTCAAACTTTGCCAAGTGACTCCAGGAGCGAAGCGAGCTCCGAGTCCCCGGAATGTCAACTTTGCGAAAGAGGGAGGCGATGGTGGGATTAAAATAAAATGGAGGGGGGAGGTTGAGGAAACCCAGCAGACGCTTACATCAGAGGGCCAGCAAGAAAGGCAAGATCAGGGAGAGGAAGAAAGCTTTTGGGACGTGCACAGACACAACTGACTCCTCCTCGTCTCCTGCCCTTGCTGCATCTCCTGTGGAGACGCGTTTGCATCTCTCTGTGTCTCTGCCACTCAAAGCCATCCTGCAGTCCAATTCATAAAGCGATTTCAATCAGCCCCTTCATTGTCAAGAGTCCCCATGGAAGTCAATGGAGGTCCGCGGAGACTAGAAAAGCCAGCCGCAGCACCTCCAAGCCTGTTGATTTTACCGGCTCAGTGGCCCGGGGACGGCTAGAAACCAATGCCCTGCCAGCCGCCGCTGCCGCCCAGCCCGGGGAAACGTGAGGCCGGCTCAGCAGCCCAGGGATGGCTAAAAACCGATGCCCCTGCCAGCCACCGTTGCCGCCCAGCCCGGGGAGACGCGAGGCCAGCTCAGCAGCCTGGGGATGGCTAGAAACCGATGCCCCCGCCGCCTGCCGCCCAGCCCGGGGAGACGCGAGGCCGGCTCAGCGGCCCGGGGACGGCTAGAAACCGATGCCCCCGCCGCCTCCCGTCCAGCCCGGGGAGACGCGAGGCCGGCTCAGCGGCCCGGGAATGGCCAGAAACCAATGCCCCGGCCGCCCGCTGCTGCCACCCAGCCTGGGGAGATGCAAGGCTGGCTCAGCAGCCCGGCGAGGGGCAGGAATCGATGTCCCGCCAGCTGCTGCCCCACCCGGGCCTACTGCCCGGCCCGGGGAGGGGCAGGAACCGATGCCCCTGCCGGCCGCCGGCCCCACCAGGCCTGCCGCCCAGCCCGGGGAGACACGAGGCCGGCTCAGCGACCCGGGAATGGCCAGAAACCGATGCCCCGGCCACCCGCTGCTGCCACCCAGCCTGGGGAGATGCAAGGCCGGCTCAGCGACCTGGTGAGGGGCAGAAATCGATGCCCCGCTGGCCGTTGTCCCCGCCGGGCCTACCGCCCGGCCCGGGAAGGGGCAGGAACCGATGCCCCTGCTTGCCGCTGGCCACACCAGGCCTGCCGCCCAGCCCAGGGAGACATGAGGCCATCTCGGCTGCCCCTCTGCCTGGTGCAGGAAAGCCCCCCCCTCCCCCCACTCATCCTCCATCTCCGGCTCTGCTGCTGCTTGGCCAACCAGGGCTGTGGCTTGCGGGAGGGCTGGCCCGCTCAACGGAGGTTCTGCTGGGCTGCTCCCAGCATGGATCCCGGGGCTTCCCCGCACGGCTCTCTGGCCACATGCACCTCTGACCGGGCCAGCCCCGGAGTGGCCCTTCCTGGCACCCTTCTCCCAGGAGGCAAATCTGCATGAGAGAGAGAGAGAGAAAGAGAGAGAGAGAAGGGAAGCACTCTGTCTCTCTCTCTGAAAATGGCGGAGGAGGCTCCAGAGCCGCAGGAGATGGCTCAAAGAGCTGCCTGCAGCTCCGGAGCCACGGGTTGCTGACCCGTGTCCTATACTATCAAGCATCCATATTAACATGGGTAAAAGAATGGATAATTCTTAAAAATAAAAGGTTGTTATATCCAGAGGGACAATTGGGGTGGCACGCCTTTTTATGGTATGGGAAAAATAAAGTTCATAAACATTCTCAAAATCACTATATAAGAAATGCGTTGTTAACAACATGGGGAAAAAAAATAAAAAGCAAAATATATTTGAAAATTCCAGGGTGGTTGTCAACAATGGAAGCATTTATACACCCAAATTTAGTGGAGTTTGAAAAAATCTGGACATATAGAGATATTCTAAACTCTGAAGGACACTTAAAATCTAAACAAGAAATGGAAAATCAGGGCATCAACTTATCATGGTGGACACATTTACCAATACAAACTAGATATGATAAAGATGTTAAAAATGTATGGATTTTATAAGGAACAACCTGTGTTTGATAAGACTTCGTTAACTTCGGTTGAAAAATTAATTAAGAAAATGTATAATTTTTTATTAACTTTAGAAATGGAAGGCAAACAAGTTAAAGAAACAATGATAAGATGGGAGAAAAATTTTGGATATAATATAGAACTAGAAAGATGGCAAAACCTATGGGAAAGAAATTATAAACTGACAATGTCAACTTCTTATAAAGAAAATTTATATAAAATGTTTTATAGATGGCACTTGCCACCAGCAAGATTAGCAAAAATGTTTAAAAGTATATCAGATAGATGTTGGAAATGTAAACATAAGTCAGGCACGTATTATCATGTTTGGTGGACATGTGATAAAGCAAAGAACTATTGGAAAAAGATACATACTTGGTTAGAAAACATGTTAGCAGAACATGTTGATTTTAAACCTGAACTTTTTTTATTAGGTATAATGCCAGAAAAGATCAATAAACAAAGCTTATATTTCACTTTGCACATCACAAGAGCGACAAGAATTACATTTGCGCAATACTGGAAGAATGAAGGAATACCATCAGATGAAGAAATAATTAAAAAAAAATACTAGAATGTGCAGAGATGGACAGATTGACTATGAGACTGAAAGAAAAGGAAGAAACAGACTGTTATCAAACCTGGAACTTATTTTACTATTGGCTTGAGCAAAGAATAAAGGATTAGGAATTAAATATGTATTAGCATATATAAACTCAGACAGCACTTTGGTTGAAAATGTATTATTCTTTGTATGGAAAAAATGAATAAAAAAACTTTAAAAAAACAAGATTAAAATAGCATGGAAAATAATTTGCAAAACCAACTGAAGCATTTATGGACGCAGAAGGCTAGATACCTCCATCTACAATTCCACGCAGAGAAATATAGAAAAAAAAATGTGAGTTAAGTATTGTAATATCATCGCGGTGTTGGGTGCTCTCTGAGCTTGGTTTTTATGTATGCTTCTTTTCCTTTGACGATGTATGATTTTTGTGGTGTTTTTTTTAAATCGTTAAAACACTTTCACTTTAAAAAGTGAAACTATGCAATAGGTGGGTGTGGCATGCTTAGCTGTCCTTCTATATTTAGGAAAAGAAGCAAAGGGAGCCCCGCATGGACAAACTTCCTGTCCGTTTTTTTAAAAAAATATTTTAAAACATTTAATTAAAATAAATGACTAAACAACCATTAAAAATACAAAACATCGTGATTGGAAAGTAAAACGCTGGAAAAATCAACAGGGACTTTTCAATTATCATAAATGATGCCATTCATTATTGAGGGGGTCCTTGGTGCTCTCTCTGAGCTGGCTTGTTCCCTTGCAGACGTTTCATCACCCAGACTAGGACTAGCACTGATGAGGCGACCTAGTTTGGGTCAGGAAACGTCCGCAAGAAAACAAAGCCAGCTCAGAGAGCAGCAAGGAGCCTCTCATGTCAACCCTGAGTTACGAATATTCTCCTTTATAAGTACAATACATGATTTCATGAATTCAGGGATCCCACCCGAGCAAGTCGCGCCTTCAGGAATGTCGGGGGGGGGGGAACTGGAGGGCAAAAAAGTCACGAACGGGGTCCTATCGCAGGTGGTGCCCGAGATCCTGACCTTGCAACCCACCTAATTCCCCCCCCCTTCCTGACCCAGCTGTCCAAAATAAGCCGTTGCGCCCCTCCAACTACGCCCCGGGACTCACCGAGACTGCCCTCCAGAAGGCAGGAAGCGGCGGCCCCGAGAAGCCAGAGGAGCCCCCAGCGCAGCCCCATCGCTTCGGCTGTCCCGCTGAGCAGCCGCTTGCCAAGAAACTCTCCGCGCGTGCGCTTTGGAACCCGGATTCCAGCTGGAACGTTGGAAAATCCCTCTAATTAAGGAAGGTTAAGATGTTAGTGTCGAACGTGACGCAATAATAGAGAGGCGTGGCTAGGGAGGGGCGTGGCCAAGGCTGCGCGGGATGGGGCTTGCTGGAATCCAGAGGGGGGAAAAATACCATGCCCAAAACAGAATGGGGAATAATAATAATAATAATAATAATAATAATAATAATAATAATAATAATAATAATAATAATACGGTCCACTTTCACACGAGATGGGCAGGCAAGCAAGTGAAGAAGGCAAGGCCGACGGTGGCCTTGGCGCAACGTAATAGACTAGAATAGCATAGCATAGCATAGAATAGAATAGCATACGATACAATACAATACAATACAATACAATGTGATACGATTAAGTGAATGCTCTTCAAAATTTAATATTGAAAGTAATTTTTAAAATTGAATCTGCTGTGTACGAGGAGGGATTTGGGGGGGGGAGAGGGGCAGAAACAAAAATGTGGGGGAGGCTGTCTAATTTGGGGAGTCCGTACAGTGCCTGGCACAGAGCCCCAAGGCCAGCCCTTCTCTCTCAGCCCCAAAGAGGAGCCAATGGCAAACCAGTTATGAAACACCTGGTCAATAATAATAATAATAATAATAACAACAACAATAATAAACTCGCAGTCCGTGGCAGTCACCAGGAATCACAAAAACTGGCTAGAATCAAGGGTCTTCAAACTTGGCCCATTTTATGACTTGTGGACTTCAACTCTCAGAATTCCTCAGCCAGCCTTGAAGACCCCTGGGCTAGATGGCACCAAAATTGGGGGGGGGGAACCACACCAGAGAGAAAGCTGAATTTTCTTCTGCACAGAAAATGTCCAAAGACTCGGCTGGCACCTTAAACACTTGTATTTCATAGGGGGGGGGGGAATCCTCTAATCCCTTATTTATTATTATTCTAGAGTAAAGGCATTCATTTATCCAAAGCTCCAAACTTCTTTTGTTGGGGTTTGGGGGGGGGCAATAAAAGCCATCTTTAAAGTGTTAAATTAAATTTTAATTAATTAAATTATTTTTCCAAAAATTAAATGCTAGCTTAAAATCCCCAATTCTGCCCAACCTCAACCACCCTGGGAACAGACCCCTGCTCGCCTCAGGTGGTGTGCACAACGCACGGATACTCCATGCATTATTTTTTTGTGTGGTTTCCTTTTACCTTTTGAACTGTTGCAACTGGTTGAACATCTGTACCAAAGGCACGGTCTACGTGCAGTGAGTTATGCGGTGGGGTACCTGAAGGTCCTGGCTGGGGCCCCGGGCCTTTACAAGATTTTTGTAGGTGGCTTAGTCAAAAAGGAAAGCTCAGCTAGAACAGAACAGAACAGAACAGGAACAAAACAGAATAGAATAGAATAGAATAGAATAGAATAGAATAGAATAGAATGGAATGGAATGGAATGGAATGGAATGGAATGGAATGGAATGGAATGGAATGGAATGGAATAGAATAGAATAGAATAGAATAGAATAGAATAGAATAGAATAGAATAGTTGGAAGGGACCTTGGAGGTCTTCCAGTCCAACCACCGAAAATCCTTTTCCAGCTGTTTTGCAAATGAATAAATTGTGATGGTTCTTTTGTTATGTACCCAGATAGTATTGTGGGAAACAAGAAATGTTGCCCCTTCTCATTTCATAGGGATAGGAATGAATACACATAGAATAGTTTCCATATTAATGATATAATGCTTTAACTTGAACTTTATGTTATTTCACAATAAGAATGTGCTATTTGTAATCTGCTGAGCTTTGTGCAATACATAAAATGCAATATGTGTGTGTGTGTGTGTGTGTGTGTGTGTGTGTATAACAAATAAATAAATAAATAACGATCACCAGGAGAATAAATGAAAAAACATTTAATAAAATCAACCTAGCTTTCGTCGGAAGCTTCTGACATCGTCAGGGTTAAAAGCAGTCATTGGGAAGAAGCTTATATATGATCACTAGATGCTTGCATCCGGCTTCTGTAACGTGTCACCGGTCCCAGCTGATCGAATTGCACTCTAAGTATATCTCTTGCATCGGCGTCCAGCAGTTTCCTATTTCTACTCTGTGCACTACAGTGCACTCCTCCACCGTTGGTTCTGGGGCTAAGTGGGGCCCTCCCCCATCCCTTTCGGGTGGTAGCTGTTTCTATTACCCCACTCCCTTGTGCACTGTTCTCTTTATCGGGGGGCCTGGGGTGCGAGCTATTCAAGTCTTTACTAGTTTCACTGCCCGTCGCAACTAAATTCCGGGTCCTAATACAGCTGGATGTGAATCTGTTAGATTTTATCGCTGCGTTGGAGCCCACCATGCACCGCGGGGGTATGGGGGAGGAGTCTATGGACTTGATTAGGCAGCAGGTCACCGGGTTACTCATGCACCATAAGCATCATCAAGTGCTGGCTAGAGATGAGATGGAGGCCCTGGAACAACTCAAGAGGGACGATACCATTGTGGTACTCCCCGCTGACAAGGGGAGAGCCACAGTGGTAATGGACAGGGTGCTTTATGTTGCCAAAGCGCTGCAGTTATTGAATGATAGAACAGCTTATAGAGTCATCAGGAAGGATCCCATAGTGACATTGAAAAATAAAATTAACAAATTACTTGATAGCTTTAAACGAGCAAAAAAACTCGATGATGACACCTTGAGGAGAATATGGCCCAATGATTTGGCACTTCTGAGGTTTTATGGGCTGCCAAAAATCCATAAGGAAGATACTCCACTTCGCCCCATTGTCTTGTTCAGAGGCACCCCCATTTCGGGGTTGGCGAAGTGGCTCAGCGACCATATCTCCTATTTGGTCGATGGCAGCCCTACTATAGTTAGATCTGCAGAGGAATTCTTGGAGAGGATTAAGACCCTTAGGGTGGAGGAGGATGAGGTGATGGTCTCTTTTGACGTCACCTCACTCTTTACCTCCATCCCCCAGGATCTAGCGGTCAAGGTCCTGAGAGACCAGTTGGAAAAACAAGGAAAGGCTGGGCACCGAGATTCCATGCAAACCGAGGATTTAGCGCAACTAAACTAAACTAAATAAGCTTAACAACTTATTTCACCTTTCAAGGTGTCACATACGAGCAAGTAAAAGGTACACCTATGGGCTCCCCAATATCTTGCGTGGTGGCAGAGGCGGTCCTCCAACAATTGGAACGTGAGGCTATGACCCGTCACCAGCCCAAATTTTGGGCTTGGTATGTTGACGACACTTTTGTCATCATCAAGCGATGTTATCAAGCTGACTTTATGGGAGTGTTAAATTCAACATATCCAGATATTAAATTTACGGTGGAGGAAGAGATCCGGGGCTCGATAGCCTTTCTAGATGTATTGGTCCAGCGCTCACTGGATGGAGCTTTGAACACCAAGGTCTATCGGAAGCCCACTCACACGGATCGAATCCTCCATTATTACAGCAATTATCCAGCCTCCCATAAAGCCAGCTGTATTAGGACCCTGTTCAAACGGGTACATTCGCACTGCAGCACGGCTGAGTCAAAGGCAGAAGAAAGGAAACATTTGTTCCGCATCTGCTGGATAAATGGATATCCCCCAAGGTTTATCAAACGGTATGGCATGACATCAGAGCCCCGAAGTAGACAGCAGGGGGAGGAACCCCCAACATGAGCCGTACAGGTGTCCCTACCGTACATTAGCAATGTGTCCGAGGCCACGACTATGTTACTGGTGCCTCACAATATAAAGGTGGCCCATAAGCCCAATCAGACTCTACGAGCAAAAGTGATGCGCCCTAAGGACCAACTCCCCACCGCCGAGAGATCGGCGGTAGTTTACAAGATCGATTGTATGGGTTGCCAGAGTAACTATGTAGGCGAGATGTCGAAAAGATTAAAAACATGCCTACATGAACACAAACTGGCAATTAGGCGAGGTGAACAACACGCACAGATTTGGGCTCATGTAGCTGAATACGATCATTGCTTTGACTTTGGGAACACCCAAATTTTGGCTAACGATGCTACAAAGGGAGGCCGCCTGCTGAAAGAAGTGTGGTTCTCAGGAACAGATTCGATCAATCGGCATGTGGACTTGTGCTCAGCACACCAGGCTCTAAGAACGTGGAGTGCTGGTTGTCGTGCCAACATTCAAAGGGGACTTAATCACAAGCCGCACGGCCGGGAGAAGGATAACCCCCTGATCCCCCACCCCCCTCCACTCAATTATGCTGGCGGAGCCCCGGTTGATAGCTCGCCCTCACCAAGTACGCAACTACGATTTGACTAATAACAGACCGATCCCAACGGACGACTACCACAGGACCCTTTGCGACACCTTGAAGGCAGGTTCCCCTTGGAATGGAAGGATAACATGCAGAGCAATGGAGTGGGACCCGAGGGACCGGAGGACAGACGGGATATGGCGAAATCTGAAGGTGGTAGTGAGGATGAGCTGCCTTCCAATGACACCGTTAGACATGCAATGGTGACCCGATCACGATTGAATGAAGGGAGACACCCCCCTCCAGTGTATTCGGCATGGGAGCGGGCAGTTAGACAACGATTGCAACCAAGACAGAGGAGTCCCATAGGGGGTGAAGGTGGGGAATCAGAGACGAATGAGAACGGCACTCACCGACAACGGACTGAACAGCAGAGTGCTATCAATGGGACGGCAACAGAGAATGTTCTGGGCATGCATGAGAGAAGAGATGCTGGAATGAATAATAGGCCACCCGGGACGACGCATGGGAGGGAGGACAGGAGGGAGAATAACACGAGGCGGGGGGGTGGAACTCACGTCATGGCTCCGAGGGATAAGTAAACAAGAACGAAACGGGTTTGAGGTCCATGGGGGCACGGGAAGTGACTCAAACACCCCCCCTGCTCCTCAGAGGAAGCCACATACAGGGCAGTGGAGGAACCGTATATAAGGGAGGAGGGAGCATCCTGATCCCGAATCCGCCTAACTCCGAAGTGGTGGATAGAACAGCGTGTGAGGGAACGCAAGCTAGGAAAAAGAAAGGAATGTGCATTGACGT